TAATAAAGGATAAAATTATCTTAAGTGATTAGATGAAAAAGAATCTGCAGAATTTGCCTTTTTTTTTTTTTATCTGACTAATCAGTTAATTGCGCAGCCATGGAAATGATGCACTTCTCCTCAGTGTTATGCTAACTCTCTGCTGCGCCCCCTCAGGGACAGAAGGCAGCTTTGCACTTAGACACCAATGGGTCGCCCCAGCCGAGCCTGTCCCACACGGCCCCGCCCAGCCTGCAGCCGTTTTTCGACGACATGCCCGACTCCGAAAGCCAAAGTAACCTGATGTCCTCCCTGAAGGTAACGCTCCCCCGCCTCGGCCCCCCGCCCTCCCTTTGCAGCAGAGACCCCGTCAGCATGCAGGCTCTGTCTCTTGGTGGCTCTCTTCACTCTGTGTAAAGTTTTTTTTTCCCCTTGTTTCCTCTCGTCTCTTCATCGCTCTGCTCCCAGCGGAAAGAGGAGGTGTGTCTGCCTTACGACCGGCACACACTGTTCACCCCTCCCTCCCCCAAACAAAACGCCTCCCTCCCTCCTCAGCGCTCTAAAGTATGTCCCTCAGCATGTCTTTTCTTTCCATCCGTGTTGCACTTATCAATGTTTTTTCATCTCCATCTGCATTTTGGTGTTGTGTGAGTTGACATCCGCCTCTGGACGCACAAATAATGCCAACCTACAGCTCATCTGTTGCTTGTTTTCACTTTTTCCTCTTTGTTCGACAGATTTACTTCTGCTTTCTTTGTCTTGTTCCCTCAGTTGCTCTGGTTGTTTTAAATATTAAATATCTGCAGGAAGAAAAAAAAAAAGTCTATCACTGGACAAGTGTTAGCGGTCATGAGAAAAGCAGAACTGTGTTTATTGTTGAATTTTATTCTTCTCAGTTTGCATGAAGCTTTTAGCAACTCGGGACCAAGGAAGCAGAATAAAAACACGTATTTTCCCTTTTGAAACGTTTAAAGATTCTGCAAAATGATACAGAATAACAAAACTTAAAAATCGTGTTACTCTGTTTTAATATGTTTGATAGAAATATGAGTTTTTCATTCTTATTTTTAGGTGACATCCATTGCACTGAAGGCTGGAAGTGATCAGTTATGTCATGCAAATACTCTCAAAGCTGTTTTTATGTATTTATTAATATTTGTCCATTGCTGATGAACTGGTGTCAGATGGGCGAGCTCTTCAGCTAAAACTCTTAATCTGGTTCCTACGACCATGTGTGCACCAGCGGAGTCATGCAGCATGCATGTGGTGTTTCGATTAACAATTGGGTTTAAAAAAAATTGTTTCAGTCTGGTTTGGCAACTGCAACCCTTACAGTTGCAGCGCCTTGCAAACATATTCATACTCCTTAAGCATTTTCATATTCTCTGGTTTTATGCGAGATTTCATAGCAAATAGCTAAAAACTTTTCAAAATAAAAATCTGATAAGTGTGGTGTGTATTTGTATTTAACACCATAGAGTAAATACCTTGCAGGAGGGCTGCATGAGTGTTTCACATTGAAATAATAAGATCTATGTATTATGCGTTACATAAAACTCCAAGGCTCATATAAGGCGAATTGTATTACTATTTTAGGAGTTTTACGAATATGAACAGTATTGAAGTATTTGCTAAGGGGGCTGAATACAATGTGTGCCACATCTTTCACATTCATATTGGTAAAGAGGTTTGAAAACCATTTTGTTTCCTTTGTGTTTTTCTTTCACACAGAATCTCAGAAAGATACAGTCAAATTTGTGGCTTAATGTGACAAAAGATTAAGACTTTCAAAGAATATGAACACTTTTGCAAGGCACTGTTATTGTTTAACTAATTCCAAACTCCACTTCCCATGAAGGTCCAAACCTTTAGCTGCGGTATTTTGTTTTTCTGTAGCTGTTTAACGGCTTTACGTTTGTTTGCAGGAGAACGGTGTGAACAGCCAGCAGATGGACGATCTGTTCGACATCCTGCTCAAGAGTGGAGGTAACTGTCTGGGTCTTTTGTTGTTTTTGTTCTTTTACATGTCCCGTCCGGCAGTGTGGCACTCAGAATTATTGTCCAAGTGTCAAGGTGTTAATGACTTCTATAATACCTTAATAATGTCAATTGATTAAAATAGGATGTAACATGTAGAACATTTTATTTGTTCATAGTAGTTACTGTTGCTTCAGTCATGAATAGCTACATGTAAAATGATGCTTTGCTACATTGTTTTGTCTACAACAGTAAAATAATTTTGGGGTACTTCTTGTCCTCTGAGCGCCACATAGAAAAGTCGAGAGTGCATCTGTTTTAAGAAAAAAAACTGTTTTAAGAAATGGGAAATTAGCCCCATAGAGAAACAGCTGAAGCAGAGAAGAAAATACTGTTCAAACATCAGACGACGTCGTGAAATTACAGAAGAAACCTGTGCATTAAGAAATTGAACGGGGTCAAAAGAATGTGAATTAAAGCAGGACTAACGCAATAATTTTGAAAGCCCCTAGTTTATTTCAAATTCAATGAACTTGGAGGCTGAGAAAAGGAGAAAGCTGGGGAAAAGGTAGGAAATGGAAAGAAAGAGATGAGAGTAGGGAAGCGGAAGAAGCATACAGAGAATACAACCCCACCCTAGAAGTCTGCTTCTACACCTGCAGAAAGAGGGAAAACTCTCTGCTGAACCTGAGAGGACACGCATGGTGATTATCTTTCTCTCTGTCTTCCTTCAGAAATCCCAGGCTTCAAGGCCAACCCGGACCCTTCCCTCGCACCCCTCCACTCCGACCCACCGTCCCCCTCTGTCCCCGCATCCCCCCTCCACCTGTCCCCACCCACCCCCACAGACACCCTCTCCTCTCAGCTGCGTGCAGGAGAGCCCGGCAGCGGCGGCGGGCGCCTGGAGGACTTCCTGGAGAGCACCACGGGGGCACCGCTGCTGGGCATGGAGCCCGACGGTGGTGGCCTGACGCTGATCGACGACCTGCACAGCCAGATGCTGAGCACGCCCAGCATCCTGGACCACCCCCCGTCCCCCATGGACACGTCCGACTTGAGCTTCTCCCACCACTCTGCGGGGCTTGACTTTGGCGACCCCACCCTCGATAGCATGGACTGGCTGGACATCTCCATGGGCAACGGGGGTGGTGGTGGTGCAGAGAACGGGGGTTCTAGGGGGGGCGGGGCGGCGTGCGACAGAGACGGGGGAACGAGTCTGACGCCGCTGGCGCCGCACACGCCACCCAGCGTCTTCTCGGCTGACTTCCTGGACAGCACGGACCTGCAGCTGCACTGGGAGTCATGTCTGTAGCCGCCCGTCCAGGCAGGGGCGCCACGCCGCCGCCGCCACCCACACTGTGTACAGGCTCCGTCTTTATGTCACGCACACATCTCTATACGTGGTCTCTGCCACTGGCACATGCAAAAGCACGCACACACAAACACACAAACGCATACGGTTTGTCGCTGGCTGTTACTGAATGTGAGCTGAGATGAAATATGCAACTAACATAGAAGTTGAATTCATAGAAAGGAAGCGAGGGGGAGTGAACTTTTTCTGAATTTAAATTCTGTGGGAATTTTGAGCAGCTGACTGGTTAGAGCCAGGCTTAAAAAAACAAAACAAAAAAAGACTTCCTGTGTCTGGACCTTGATTGTAACCCGGTTCAAATGAACCCATCGGAAGCAGGACAGATCAGGATCGAAGATGAGGAACGTTTACCGCGCCTCTTAAGGCGGCAGAGTGTGTCAGTGCCTCCTTAAACTTTGCACTTATGCTGAATCTGATTGGTTTAACGGGATGGACAGATCAGCGGCCAGTCCAGTGTGTTTCTGATCAGCTGGTAGGACTTAAAGCAAAAGGCAGCTGTGGCTGGCCTCGTCTCCCCAACATGGCAACTTGATCCCCCCCCCACACTAGTCAAAGAAACAATCATCACTGGTTGTCGGTTGCTGTTGAACTGAACCATATCAGTGGCAACCATTTGAACTGAAGCCTCAGTGGAGGCTGTGTATTATTGGTAACATTATGGTAGACCACTATGTATTGCTGTATATGGGGTGTATATTATATCAATTGTTCATAAGACTATTTTTCTTTGGTGGTTGCTTTAGAGTCGAGTGAGCCGGCTTTGAGGGAACATAGTGAGGGGGGCTTCTAAAACACTCGGTCCTTGTCATTTTATAAAGAAAAAAAACTTTGGAAAAAAAATAAACATAAAATAAAAACACAAATATGTTTGCTTGAGTTCTTTTCCATGACATAATTATTTCGTAAATTGTCCGTATAAGGGTTTCTGAAAACCCCCCCAAAAAACTAAACTTTATTTAACTTCAGCCACAAGAGGGCGCCAAAACTAAGAACTTACTGAATACAACTACCTGAAATTGGATTTTTTTTTTCAAACTAAAGGAAGGAAAATGTATTTTAAGCTAGTAATAATAATCTACGGTATCTTGAATCCAAACACTGTCTGTGAGACTAAGAAGCTTTAATTAAATACTGACAAAGCTTCTCAGCATTTCTCTATAAATATTAAGTTCATTTGAGAAAGTCACCCAACCGTTTTTATTATTTTTTTTTAAGTAATTTAAAATCTTATTTGGTGCTAATTTACTTGGCTGTTTTGTAAACTTTCTTGTGTGATACTAAGAGATATTAAACCAGCCTGACAGAAACCATCATTGAGAAAAGTCCTGTTGCCTTTAAGACGTTTACCTTCAAAAACTACTCACACAGAATTGCGTGTTAATTGGAATTTTATGATAGACTAATTGTGAATTAAAATGAAAATGATCCAAAGTTTTCTAAATTTATTTGAAAATCTAAATCTGAAAAGTGTGGGATGCATCTCTTTATAGTCCCCCAGAGTGGACTAGAAACATATGTGTGCTTTTGCTGCACTTAGACTGAAATGTTTGCTAATTCCTTTTTGTAAAATACTTTGTGCTCGGTTAAGACAAAAAAAGGAGACAAATAATTGAGTTAAATTAGTTCTGGACTTTGACTAGACCACCTTATTGCATCAATATATTTTCATCATTTTTTAAAAGGAGTTTTTGCTCTATATTTAGTGTTTATTTTATTTTTGCTGCACCATTTTCCACATTAACGAGCCTCTTTCTTCCTGCAGGAAGAAAAACATTCCCACAGCATGATTCTGCCACCTGTGTGTTTCATCATAGAAATTTAATTTTTATAAGCATGTTTATTTTTACTTATTTATTTGACCACATTCAGTTTCCATGTTGGTTCAGTTTCATTCTGATCTGACCAGAAGATCTTTTGATTTTTTTTTGTGTCCCCCACATGGCTTATGGCAAACTGAGAACTGAACTTTTTTTTTAACCTCCCTCTTCCATAAAGGCCAGATTTAAAGTGTGTGCGGTTGTAAGTTGCCATGTCAACAGATTATCCCTTCCTTTCAGCCTCCACTTTGAGACACATAAGTATTCGTATGGCTTTTTGGTAAACCTGGGATACAAACTTGGAGGGGGAAAAAATGGGAATCTCCAAAATCAAAAAGCTCTTTTTATGAAGAAACAGTAAGAGACCTCTTCATCATCCCCTCCTCTTCCTTCTCTTTCTAATAGTCTTAATTGAGCTCTAATACCAAGTCCTCCTCTGCCCTCCTAATTTCCTCCACCATCCCTCCAAGCTTCCCCGACGAGGTCCCAGCCTATCTGACACCCAGATTGCAACATGTGCAACCAGCTCACACACAAAGGTCGCAGCAGCTCCCTGATGCAGCGCCGGTGATGTCTCTCTCATTCACAGAGCAGATAAAAGTCCGGAGGCCATGCCACTAATTAACTGCAGTGAGCTCCGAAAGGCTGCAGCGCCAACAGGGCTAAAGATCCTCTCTGCTCCACAACCTACTGACAGGATCCCGTCACATGCTCGATGAAAGCTTTTAATAAGGCAAATGGGGGAACAATAAAAGGTAAATTCATGTAGCTAAAATTAAGACTAAAAAAAAGAATGAAGATTGTCTTTAATATGTTAATCACAGGTCTTAAATTTGACAGTACTAAAAGCTTGTCTATTGGGTTTTTTTCTCACGGGACTTTTCTGTCAGGCAAATGTTCGAGTCGTACTTAGTGAGTAGAGGCCATTGCTAGCTGGCTAGCGTTTTGTGACTAGCATGGGTAAGTGCAAATTTATTATCAATTGGCTTGACTACGTTCATACATTTGTGTGGAAATGTATATAGGACGTAAATTTTGGGTTTTAAATTTCATTCATAATTGTCTTAAAAAGGTATTTAACCCTTTACTCTGTGCTTGGTCCGACGACGTCGCACTGACTGACCCCGCGAGAGCTTTGAAAGTTTTTATTTTATTTTATTAATGTGATTTCGGAAACTAATGGTGTGACAGCACAACCCAACTTGAACACCGCTCCTCCTGAGAGTGAAACCTTCAAATATCCTGACTGAAAAAAAAGAAAAGAAATTAAGTTATATATAAGGTGTGTGTGTGTGTGTATGTGTGTGTGTGTATATATATATATATATATATATATATATATAGTTTTCTTTAGCTTGATAGATTTAACTAGCGCTGACTTTTCCACCCTCTGGGCTGCTTTCCTCATTTAAAAAAACAGATCAACAATTTGATAAATACATTAAAAATGTCATCTTGCCAGGAGCCAGAGATGAAGCCAGGGGGCAACTGCTGGGATTTGGAGTGAACACTGGAACGGTGAGAAAAACTGTGCTCTCTGAAAGGACAAAAAAGTCTAAACACATCAGCGTCACTGAACTGTAATAAATAGCTTTACAAATCTGTCCACAGTGTTTTGATAATGAAAAAAGTCAATGAGAACCAACAAAAATGGCCAAGACAAGTTTAAAAGGTTACAAAGAGTTCAATAAATTTTCAGGTTTTTTAAGCATCTTTTCTTTTTGTGGTTGTGAGTGTTTTTGTTTGATACTTTTGGCCTGTTTTTGGCTGCACTTACATTGAAATGTGAGAAGAGACAGTTTGTCAAGTGGGCCTCTTGGTAAAACTAGGCCTGCATCTTTGAACACAGATTCTTATGACTTTTCTAAGTACATCTTATAGTTGTTCAAAGAATAGAAAAGATTCTCACAGCATTTTGAAGGTTAAACAACAAGGACTCTTTTTCTGTTTGTTCCCTATAGGAACCAATCAGATCTTGAGCTGCAGCTAGAACCAAACCTTTCTGCTTGTCATGCTAGCTTTGTCTCCTTTCTCGTGTTTGTTAGGCTTTATGGTGTGAAAGGAGCAGTCAGGTTTGGGTGGATCGTGCTGCTACTGCGACGACTTTGATGGAGGACGAGGTGATTGTTGACATTTGCCCAGGCAAGTCGTGTCAGGCAGGGAGAGGAAGACAGCACTGTCATACCCAAAAGATTTTAATGTGCAACATAGTACATCCAGAAAGTATTCATGCAGCACTTTGTTTTTTTACATCTTTATTCCAACCAGTATTAAATTAATATATTTCCTAAAGATTCTACACACAAATATCACTATGACAATGTGGGGAAAGATTTTTTGAGTCTTTAGAAACCCTTGAAATTATATTTATGTAAGTATTCACAACCTTTGCTTAACACTTTGATATCAATTACAGCCTCAGGTCTTTTTAAATATGATGTCATCAGCTTAGCTTTTCAACTTGACATTTGCGAATAAGCCAACAAAATATGGGAAGATATTAACAGGGAAAGTTGTTTGAAAAAAAATCCTTTCAACTCTTGTCAGTAGAGGAACTTTTACCAGCTTAATTAACTAATTAGAGGAACACAGATCATTCAAAATATTTTCAAGTTTTGATTCATTTTTCAAATTAATTTTAACTATAAAAATGTGGACTAGTTTAAGGGAGCAGACTGGTTGTGTACTCGTTGGCCTATCATAATGTAATGTGGAACTTTGTGTGGAACTTTACCTCACGACAGCCAAACATATGAATTGGGATGTAACAGTGTAGGGGATCCAGACTGGAGACTGATTACAAAAAGGAATATTTCATGTGAACATGGAAGAATGATTATCTTATGAGGCGTAACCCACTGCAGGAATCCCACTCTGCATCAATGATTGTGTCAGGCAGACATAAAACGGAAACAGAAAACCATACATTTTCAATCTTCTGTTTTTTGAGGGGTTTTTTTTTTTCTCATTTCATTGGCTTTGATATTTTAACGCTGTGTGTGTGTGAGCGATCTGATATGGGATCAGTGCACGATGGAGAATGGATATGATGGGCGAACAAAGTTGGAGAGGGTTCATCACGATGGCAGCATCAATAATCGACCGGTTGAGCCTGAGCGGACACAACCTCGGCGTTTTAATTGGAAGGGAGCATCGGTCCAGACGCTCGGTAAGAGCAGAGTACAGAGAGGTAATCAAACCAATTGTTCTGTAAGTCAGTCATGAATTATTACAGTGCTAACATTCAGTTATTAGGAGCAGTAGAAAATGTCCTCACATGGAAGTCTTTCTCTGATTTGTTACTGAAAAATGTTGAGGGTAGAGTTACTGAAAGTCAGTCATTTAAGTATTAAATCCCTGCTATCTGAGCTTACCATGACTTTAAAATGGTTAATGTCAACTTTGCAGATGGAAAAAGAAAATTAAAGAGATGGCACTTTTGATAAACTTGGGTTATTATTAAAACTGCAAAATTAGTTGGCAGCCCTGGTAAAGATCTATTAAAAATACATAAACCTTCCAAATTACAAAAAAAAAAACTTCCAAAATACATAAACTTTCCAACCTCACATTGAAATATGTGAGGTTAAATTGAGATCTTCTCATTAATAACCCATGGCTTTATGTCTTCCTCGGGTACAAATATGACTTGACACAGAGGTCCACCCTTTTCACCTACTGACCAATTGGTTGGACAATGACCCAAATTTACTGTATGATGCTACCACCATGAGGGGATGGTGGTAACCAATTGCAGCAAGATGACTTCATAACAACCAGGAGATGCTTTCTACATCCCAACTGGGTGGTCTGGTTGGATTAATTTGTGGAAAAGCACCTCATACTCTCTTAATATAGTGGAAGATCTATGATGCTCTGGGCCTCTTTCTCTTAGAAAGACTATAGAAGCCTTGTTAAGGGCGTGACACATGGGGGGCGACATTGCTCACTCTCCATTCATTTCCTGTGGAACTTGTGTGGACCTGATTTCCTTAAGTTTTGGTGACCGGTGATACTTCCATGTGAAGTTGATCTTATTTGTCTAAAAATCATCCATTGTCCCCTTTTGCTCAGCCGTCAGAGAGGCCTGACTTGGAGAACCACCCGCCATGTCACTTCTGCCTGAGTTATCATAGGTCACTCGGAGCAGCCATCTCGTCGGTTTGAAAGTGTAATACAATTTTGAAGAAAAAAAAAGCGCAAAATATCACAATTTGCAATTCATGTAAGGGCGAAGTAAGTCGTGGTGAAGCCACAACCAAAACCTTCAATCCTACATCATTTAAGAAACCACCATGCTGCATGCACCATTTGAGCAAAGCAATCAAGCTAAAGCTAGCAGAAGCAAAGAACTAGTTGGTGACCCGGTGTTGGCTCTTATGAGCAGTGAAAAGAACACAACTACTACGAAGAAAGTTCTGGAATTCATGGCATTAAACGAGCAGCCATTTTCAGTCGTTGAGGATGGGGGTTTCAGAAACTTGATGAATCACTTGAGCCCACAATATAATGTGCTGAGTCTGAGATACTTTTCAGACGTTGCGTTACCGGAGTTGTTCAGCCAAGTTATCCAGACACATCTGCAATCTGCTAAAAGCCGATGCAAAGACACTCTGCTTTACGACACATAACTGGATTTCTGATGTAAGCTTAATGTGCATGTTGTGGGCAATGGATTGGAACGTCATCAAGTACTTCTACAGTGTAAGGAATTGTTGGGGTCTCACACTGCTGCTAATCTATCAGCAGAGTTTAAGGCAATGTTGGATCTTTGGGAAATCTGTCATGCAAGAGTTCATGTTGTTTTGCAGGACAATGATCGTAATACGGCCAAAACATTGGATGATGCTAACTTTACAAGTTTACCCTGCCTGGCACACACACTGCAATCCGTAGGAAACGAGGGAGATTTACTGCAGAATCGCAGACATTGTTGCAACAGGAAGGAGAATTGTTGGATATTTTAAGCATTCCCAACTCTACGTCATACAAACACAGTTAGGTCAGCAGAAGAAAAGAATGCCACAAGACGCTTCAACTAGGTGGAACAGCACGGTCTACATGCTGCTGTCACTGCTGGACCAGAGACGTCCTATTGGCACCTATGCTGCCGAGCACAAGCTACCAGCTACACTCAGTGCACACCAGTGGGAGCCAATGGACAATGTGCTGACCATCCTCGCACCTTTTGAGCAACTCGTAAAGGAGATCAGCTCTTCAACAGCTACAACAGCAGATGTCATCGCAGCCGTCACTGCACTCAAGTGGCTTTTGGAGAGGCAAGCGAGCACGGACCATGGTGTTTGTACAGCCAAAGCCACTCTGTTGGAGGCTAGTGTGAGAAGATTAAGCAACATTGAGCATGAGCCCTTGCAGCTTGGGCACTATTCTTGGTCCAAGGCAAATAACTATGAATATTCTATTTTCTAGCCATGATTACTTTTAGCCTGCTGCTATATTTGAACAGACATTTCAATTAAATTAAAAATGAAAATAGTTTGATTGAAATGCATTTCTTTATTTACATGTAAATGATAAAAAAAATTGATAGTGTATACAAAGCACAATGATTGATCCATCTTTTTTTTGTTAATGCAAAACAAGGTACAAGAATCACTACTTCTGAGCAGAGGTAAAAGATGAAGTGAAACCGTTTCTTTCGCCCAAAGAAGGGAGACCAGATGCAAACCTGAGAAACCTGTTGCAGGAACATCTTCTGAAGTGGAGCCTCCTGACATAGATGCACCTGCAGCCAAAAGGTGCAGTCGACTGTTTACAGTATGTGATTAAATCTTGAAGGAGAACATTGATGAGGAGCAACAGCTAGCCAGCCCTTCAGTGAGAACTACAAGGTAAGATGAAGGGAAAGATATATATATATTTATATAAATAAATAAAAAAAACGGGGAGTAAGAACTAAACCTCAGTGAGAAAGAAAAATGGGGGGAGAAATTGAGAAGGCATTGTGGAAACCCAAGAGAAAAAAGAGGATATGTTTGTGATTAACTGAAGAGGAAAAAGCTGGTGGAGAACTTACAAAAATAGCTGCTTCCTATTAAAATCAGTTTCTGTCAGTGGTACTCATCTGCCTGCTGCTTAGCATGGCAAAGTTGCACGATAATACAACACATCAAAGCAGATATTGGAGGGCAGGTTCAGGTTGCGGGTTATTGCATATCTTTGGAAATGTCCCAATTTATGTTCTGAATTATAATTTTTTATCTAAGACGTATCTTTCAACAAAATCTCATCAATTTCAGGTAGTTGATTGATTAAATCTCTGAGAGTGAATGTATTTTTTCAGCAGGCAGAGAAAAACCTTACCATGAGTATTTAAAGATTGAAAAAGTGCTCATATTTTTATTCCTCATTGCAGTAGAGTGATTCACAGATGTCAAACCTTCACTTTCACCTGCAAGATAGTTTTGTTTGGAATGAGTTTTATGGCAGACTAGTCGGTTGTCTGTGGAGTGGCAGATTGGGGTGTTGGTCCCATTAAAAAGAAATGGCACCAGAGA